GCCATACCTCTATAGAGGGCAGCTAAAAAGAAAGAAAATAAATTCAGAGGCCTACCACGTGCCAATTCATGCGCTATGGGTAAATAGCTCAGGGAGGGCTTTATAATTGGTACACACAAAACATATTTACAAAGCAAAACCAGAAGAAAGGCCACTCGCTCAGTATGGAAAGGCTCAGCGCTCGAATGGTTATGAAAGGTTTGCAGACTTGAATAAGACTCGGTGAGATTTTTACCAAACTTTGGGGCGCCACCAGAAACCAAGATACCAGGAAAAATGGTATCGCCCAAAGGTGGCAGATTCACTAGGGCCCCAACATCCCTTGAAGTAAAAGACATGGGGCCAAGAGGGAAAACAAAGGTATTATACTCAGAAGACCAAAAATTTAAAGCGATCGAAAAAAGTGCTGAATCAAAAGTAGGGGTTGAAGAGAAATTTCTAACAAATCAGAAATCCTAGCATTATCAAAAAGTGCCTTAGTAGGACCATGGTTCATAAGGCGAGCATGCCACCTATGGAAAACTACATCAGATTTAGGCTAAGTGTGAATACCTCTTTCGCGAAATGGCCCCAGCGGCAGAGAGTTTAGAAATGGAGGGCCTTGAGTACAAGAAAACAGCTGGCCCACCGCCGCTTGTTCGACTGCCTCTGCATTGTTGAAGAAAGGACCTAGGTAGAACTCATTGAGTTAGACATTGGCAGGTGCGAGAAAGTACGGAGTTATGTATGGACGATTAAGGAGTTTCTGAAAGTCTTCAAAACTAAAGGAGTCGCCAGATTGAGATTGTGAAGTAGCCATTAGGGATGAAACGGAGTTTTTCAGAGTTACGTAGCAGGGAAGCAAAGAGATGAACAGTAAAATTGTGAGAGAGAAGCGCGAAAAAGTGAGGCGTGATTTGTGCAGTGAAATGGCGTATTTGGGGGTTATAAGGGTTTGCAAAACGTCGCACCTTTTCAAGCTATGGAAGAAAACAATGACTAAAATTCTTGGGAATTTCGAATGTTGCTGGAAACACAAAGTGAATATGACAAAATTTAAAAATTGGTATAAATTCTGCCATATTAGGGGGTAATTGTTGACACATAAAAATTCAGCCCAAATCGAACGGCCCAAGGAATGAAACCCAATTGGAGGATCCCCAAATCAGATAGCCCAAAGAACGAAGCCCAATCAGACAGTTCAGGATGAGGCCCAAATAGGGAGGCCCATGAAAGCGGTAACACCATCGCCCAAACTTGCAAGTCGCCCAGGATCTGAGCGAATGGAGTGCCATGTAGTCGCCCAGAGCTGCTACTCTATTCTCGCCCAAACCTTCGAGTCGCTCAAAGTCTTAGCAAACATGAAGTGCTGTGGTTATCAAGAAGCGCAGTTATCAAAGCAGTTATTAAAGTAGCCCTATCACGTTCCACGATTTAAAGAATTCAATTGAAGACGGTTGAACGACAAAGAGTAATGGCAGCAGTTAGAAAAGTCAGTTCCATGACAAGTTGGTCATTACGAAGAAAGTGGACAGTTATAGAACGATCAAGCAGTTTTTAGGCGGTTGATCACAAAGAGATCATCCAGGGAGTATAAAAGGAAGAAAAGACATAGAACAAAGGACCCCGAATCAAAAACTCTCGAACAGAGAATATGTAATTTTAAATTTCTTAGTTTAGATTTAAACACTTCTTTAGTAATTCGTGTGCTTGCGCCCCTTGGAGGCATTCTGTTTTTACTTTCCGATTGTAAAGTTATCGCCAAAAAAGAACACCCAATTTTGAAACTTTGTCTCAAGAGGTTTGTCCCTTACACAATCGTCTGGTCCCTTTTTAATTGTTAACGATGAACCCGCGCGAAACACTTTCATATTCAGATAATAAAGTTAAAGATGAAAACATGAAACTATTTCATGACTATGGTAATGTGTTTTTCTTTTCTTTTTGCTTTTCCTTTTTTCTCTCTCTAAGAAGTCTATACATGACATGTAGATATTTGGTTGCACATATGAATGCAACACATAATTAAATGTCCAATCACATAGCTATTTTGCTTTCGTGTCAAAAGGAGACATGTCCTCGACTTGCAGCTAGTGGCCGAAACAAATTCGTCGAATCCCATTTCGTGTCAATTGCATATGATGCAATCTTGATTCTTTTATTGGACATGAAAATTGTTCAAGCTTTCCATTTACAAGAATTATTTTAGTTGTGACCATGGACCTAGAGTCACATAACAAGTAATTTTCCATGCAGCCTTCTAGAAGTATTTTGCAATTTTTTACAAGATGTCAATTGAAATTCACTACTAATCTTATAAGTAGTTTACACACGATATATAAATATTTGACAGTACGTATGGATGAAACACACAACTAAAATACGAGATAAAACATACACAACAAACATTGACATGGTGAAAATATTCCATTTTCTACCCTAATGTGAAATCATATGGGTAAATGATGTTACGCTCAAATGAAAAATGCACAAGGTGCCTATATTATATGAATGCGGTGAAATTTGAATAATTAGCAATTCAAATGTTTTTAATAATTATGATAAATTTGACATATATTGATACAAACTATATAATCTATTAAATTTATAACATAGCACACATATAGATTACATAGGAACTAGTCGTGAAACAAATCTTATGCAAATAACTTGAATCTGTATATTTACACGGCTAATGGACAGCGCTCCAAATAAACATTTTACACCCCAGTCAGATAGGCTTGATGCGTGATCAACAAATGAATTGATCATTGGATTGTCAACTTGTCGGGTACTAATTGATAAACAAATAAACAAATCTTATGGTAAATTTTGTTCAATATTATTCTCTTTAGGTTTCGACCCGAGATGCTTTCATCCCCAGAAGCAAGGAATGGACAAAAATCTGAGATAAGAAGTTTGAGGATTGATGCAATAATATGAAGCTTCACAGCTAAATTTAGGAGAGTTATACTTAATTAGGCAGCAAATTTTAGTAAGGCTTGTTTGGTGGAGTGATGTTAGCAGATGTATTAATTAACTTTGAAGAGTTATGTAATTTAATGGTTTTTCATTTTACTGCAGAAATTATAGTAGTTTTAGAATAAAATAAGTTGAAATGTAAAATTTGAATGTGTTTCTATTAAATTGTATTGGATGAAATTTCCTCTCAATTTAATTCAGGAGAATTGAATAACTTGATCACATGTCCACGGTTGAAAAAATGGGCGTCCAATTGCAATAGAACCCTATCAGTGGCTGAAATTAAGCAAAAAGGAAGATCACCCGAATATTGGCCATAAATTGTGTGAGAAAAGTTGATAGCAACCTGAGACAATAACGAAGAAGAAAATGTTTTAAGAAATCACCAATAAGTCAAATAATATAGTTCTTGTATCAAGAATTCGTTAATTTATGCTTGGTTAAGCTTAAAAACAAAGTTATTTAAAAATTATTATATTAGACTGGATATTAAAGAATAGATTCTACAATGAATGATTATCAAAATATATATTAATATATAAGGATTCAGACTACTTCTCTTAATAAAGATTGGCATCTGAAGATGAAACCATATGTCTTAATATAGTTATATTGATATGCTCAAACAAGTCACTTTTTGTGGGGACAAATTAAAGGATCAAATAATTATCAACATATAAGAGTTTGGATTACTACTCTTACAAAAAGTTGATATTTTAAGATGAAACTTTAAATCTTAAAATACAAGATAATTAATAAAACTTCGGAAATTAATTAAACCTCTTGAAGAATTGCTTTACTGTCAAATGAAAAGGGAAATCTTCGTCTCTCAAAAACAACAAATTAAATAGTCGCGTATATTGTATATTGAATAACATACTATAATTGAAAATAATTATCAACGTATAAGAGTCTGGACTACTACTCTTACAAAATGTTGATATTTTAAGATGAAACTTTAAATCTTAATACAAGATAATTAATAAAACTTCGGAAATTAATTAAACCTCCTGAAGAATTGTTTTACTATCAAATGAAATGAGTAATTAATCTTCGTCTCTCAAAAACAGTAAATTAAATAGTCACGTATATTGTATATTGAATAACACACTATAATTGAAAAGTATTCATAATCATCTTATCCAATCATGTCTATTTCAGTTCAAAGTTTCAAACATTGCTCAAAAGAATTCAATAAGAAATGATCACATGACATGTCCATAGCTGAAAATAAACAATACACAAAAACGAACGGTGTCCAATTGTAGAAGGAAGCCCAGTCAGCGGCTAAAATTAAGCTATAAAGGAATATCACTCGATCATTGCCCGTAAATTAGGTTAGAAACTACACAATGAGAAATAATAAAATATTGCAAGAAAATTATTACAAAATTTGACAATTTTAAATTAGCTCTCTTTAAACGGAACCTTGTAGATAGGTAGTTATTTTATCATGTTTTAGGATAATAAGAAACAATTTGTTACCTAAACTTTACTCTTTTTCTTTCTTAACTTCGCATCTACTTTGATCTTGTTAAAGTACGTGGAAATATGTTCATATCTTGGTGATGATATCATGATGTTTTTCTATTTTTTAAAATATTATTTTCATAGTAATATAATTGTGTAATTAGATCCAACTCTTGCATTGAGATAGTTTAGGGTTTTAAAGAACGTCCCAATATAGTTCGGTCATGCCAAACATCGATCATATCTTATTTGTTGCTAGCCAAGCTTCTATATAACTTGATAGATGGACCAATGTACATAGCTAGATAACAAGGGTTTTAAATTTTTAATAATATTAAGTGATAATCTCTACTTGTTCTAAAAATTAACTTGTATAAAATTTTGCAAACTTCATAAAAGTTAATCTTTTCGATGAATGATTCAGCATATATTGAAGTAGATAAAAAGTATTAAGATCAAGTTTCAAATCCATTCATTTTGACACAATATTCACATAAGGGCACATTAGCATACAAGGAAGCAAGTTTGTCAATGGATATCACATAAAAGTAAACATTTAAACTTTTAAATAAAGTAATTTAGTCGAACAGCTTTCTCCATTGATAGCACTATGTATAATATGATCATGAGTTAAAACATCAACCCCTTCATACATAATAACTCAAACATACCTTCAACATATATATAAATATTTAGTTCATAATCTAACACGAGTATTATTTTATATCATGGCGATACATCATCGTACCACACATGATTTACAACATCTATTAAATATTATCCTATTAATAAGGACGTTGGCCAATGTAATTTCCTGGAGGATCATAGCTACATATGACAAACAACCAACCATTATGGCATTGAACTCTAGCACAACCAAGATGAGTCGAGTCACGCCAAACAACTTGAGTATAATGCAGGCATTCTCCCCCAACGCAAGAATTCGACCCATGATCATAGCAAGATTTCTCCCCAACCCACATATTCACTGCATCCACCGACGACAACGTCCCATACCCCTCGGCCAGGTTTTCGCCATAGGGACCTTGTGAATGCTCCAAATTGCAATCTCCATATCTTTTGTGTGCATAGTTTAGGGCATAGGCTGCAACTGTTTGATTCCATACTAGGGGATGCACCCCAACTTCTGCACGAGCCTTGTTGTGGGCATGAAGAAAATCCTGAGGAGAGTTTTGGGATATGGAGAAATGAGCAAAAAGAGTTAAGGCTATTAAGGGATAAATGATGAACATTGAATTAATTCTGGAGAAATTCATTTTGATCTTGATTTTGTGAAAATGGGACATGTTACTTAGTGTGGAGAGTAGTGTATTTATAGACTTGTTTTCAGAAGTGCTAGCCAAAGATTGAGGCGTGAAGTAGTTGGTCCGTTGAGGCATTTTGGATTAAAGTAATACAATGTGTCTTTCTGTTCTTACTTTTTAAATAAGTAAAATATAATTATGTTTTCACTCATGGATGTGACAGGTACATTGAACTTATTGCGATTACGAAATACTATGATGTTGTAAAGTTAACAACTGCTCTATTTAGTGGTGTCCTCATTTTCAAATGAGATTTTGATTAATTTAGAAATATTATCATTCTAATGAATTTCGTGGATTTGAATAGATTTCCATAAAATTTATAAAATTTTTATTAAATTTTACAAAATTTTATTAAAATGGTAAAATTTTAAAAGGGTTTGTTATATGTATTTTTAAGTTTGGAATCCATGCAAATTTTTTAAAATCCCACTATTAATAAAATTCTTATAAATTCATTAATTATTGAGGATATCTAAATTATAAAAGATTTCATTAAAGTATGTGTGGGGGTACCGCAGATTAAAATTAATTAAAATCTCAATTGGGAACAGTTGAATTTAGGAGGATTTTAAAAATTTATTAAAATATCAATTGAGAACACTTTATGAAATCATTTCAATGTATCAAACATGTTGTTCATGTATTTTGACTTATTGGAAAATTTTGATTCTCTACGTATTTTTCTACTATACTCTTGTTTGAATGTGTTTCAAATAATTAAATTTTGGATTGAAGAGATATATAAATCCATCTACTATAATTTACTTCTTGATTTTGAAACTAAATATACATGTTTTATGAGGATATTAATAATATCAAGATGAATAGATAATTTAAAGACAATAAAGATTTGTTCTTATATACACTCAACATGTCAACATACATGTGTATATATTACTTGGTCAAAAATAATCTCGTGAATGATAATGATATAATTTAACTTTAGTCACACCATTAATAGACAATTTTCTGAATTATCCTCTGATAAATTCATGGGATTAAAGAAATGTAACTTTGGTTAATTAGACGTCAAATCTTCATTAATAGATCTATTTCCGTTATTTGGTGGAGATTAAAATCGGTTTTTTAGTAAATTTTTTTATCGTACATAAGTTTCGAAGTAAGAGAATTCAACCACTTTACTCGAATCCTATAGCTGATTAGGGAGAGACGCAAGCTTGAAAATCCATTCCGACAACATTCATTTGAGGCTTTAATCTTGATATTAATCTTGTTTTGGGAAATACACTATCCAATTATCCATATAAAAAATAAAATAAAATTTACAATCAATTAGATAATAATTTACCAAGTAATTTGGGGAGGGTTATTTACAAAATCATAATACCAATAAAAAGTAAAGTCATGTGAACCTGTATCTGCGTCAGCGGCGGAGAATTAAAAATTCAAAGGATATGAAAGTGATTTTTCACGCCATTTCAAAAAGTAAATGAGCGATAATTACGGCATGTGCATATTTATTTATTTAACTTTTTTTTAACCAATTTAGCTTTGAATTTTCTCCCAATTTGGCGGGTTTTAATATATTTCAGTGATCATAGTTATTGTTGAAAGACTTTGGTGAAAAAAGCTCTCAAAAGTCTAGGCCCATGTTTACTTATATTTGTAAATATTCAAATCACTTTTATTTAGTGGAAATTACACCCTTTCCTACTTTTCAAGATCAATTTTCTAAAATCATAGTGAAGCTTTGAGTGTTCAAAAATCAGATATTTTGAATATTAAATATAATAATACAAATTTAATTAACACTAATTTATTTTCATTTTCTTTCTCTACATCCCGCCCCTTTCATCCTCTCCGCTCTCCTCAAATCAAATAGCCGACACCACATCACAAGAACCTGTCATCGCCGGACAAGCAACCGATGGTCGGAATAGTGCGGCTCGCCTAATTAACTATTTTGCTGCCAATGATTGCTGCGGGGAGAGGACCAACGCCTCTCCACCACCTATCCCATCTTCTCTCTTGATAGTGAAGGGAATCGGCGCCGTAACTGCAAGATCGGCACACTTGAGCGTTCGTCGCTCACTTGCAGCGACGTTGACTACGAGATCGGCGTAGGTATAGTTGCAATGACAGTAGTTTGTGGTCTTGGGTTGAGCTCTTTGGTAATGTTGGTGGTGGCGATTACCAGTATTTTATTTTTTTATTTTTTGTTGGTGGTGCTGTTTGTTGTGGTTGTGCAGCGATGTGGTGGTATTGTGTGTGCGCCGTGGGCTGTGCCGTGTTGACTTTTGTGTAAGGTGTAGTGGTTGGGTCTTTTGGTACACGATGTAGTGCTGTTGGTCGTGATGTTGATGGTAGTGGCGTTTGGGCTTGGTGGTTACTGCAGTTGCAAAAATGGTGACGGTTTTGTATTATTTTGCAGTGGTTGTATGATTGTTTTCTGTTAACATAGTGGTGGTTTGCATTGTAGATTGTGGATCTGTGGTGTTGGTGTGTGGCGGCAATGGTGGTGGCGATGATTTGGGGCTACAAATCTGTTTTTTGACGGTGGGGGTCGTGGCAGTGGTGATGATGAGATGTTGGTGGTTGGAGGTCGTGGTGGCGATGGCAGCGAGGTGGAGGTGCTGTTGGCGTTCAGAGAATTGATGATGATGTTGGTGGTGGTCGTGGTTGTAGGGCGATAGAGGAAGTGGTGCTGGCTACCGCAACCAACGATGTTGGTTGTGCTGATAATTGTGATTGTGACCGTGATTCCTAATTGTGATCTGACATTGAATATGTGACCGTGACTCCCAATTGATTAAATTGTGATCTATAAAATTTGTGTTTGTGACTTAAAATTTATTGAGTTGTGACCGAAAAATTAATCTGTGACCTATAAAATTTTTATTCGTGATCAAAAAATAATATGTGACCTATAAAATTTGTGTTTGTGACTTATAATTTATTGAGTTGTGATCGAAAAATTAATCTGTAACCTATAAAATTTTTGATTTGTGATCGAAAAATAATATGTGACCTATAAAATTTGTGTTTGTGACTTAAAATTTATTGAATTGTGATCAAAAAATTAATCTGTGACCTATAAAAAATTTTATTCGTGATCGAAAAATAATATGTGACCTATAAAATTTGTATTTGTGACTTATAATTTATTGAGTTGTGATCGAAAAATTAATCTGTGACCTATAAAATTTTTGATTCGTAATCGAAAAATAATATGTGACCTATAAAATTTGTGTTTGTGACTTATAATTTATTGAGTTGTAACCGAAAAATTAATCTGTGACCTATAAAATTTTTGATTCGTGATCGAAAATAATATGTGACATATAAAATTTGTGTTTGTGACTTATAATTTATTGAGTTGTGACCGAAAAATTAATCTGTGGCCTATAAAATTTTTGATTCGTGATCGAAAAATAATATGTGACCTATAAAAAGTTTAATTTGTGATCGAAAAATAAGTTGTGACCAATAATATGATAAGTTGTGACTAAAAATTAATCTGTGACTAATTATTTTTGGATTTGTAACCAATAAACAAACTCTGACATTCAAAATTTTTGAAATGTGATCGTAAAAAAATTTGTGACATAAAATTTTTGATTTGTGACCAAAAAATAATAAGTAACTAATTATATTGTTAATTTGTGACCAAATTGTATAGATTTGTGACCTAAATATATTTAATTAATAAAATAATTAATTAACTAATTAAATTATAAATAATTTTTAATAAAAATCTGATTTTAGAAATTTGAAACTTGTTTTCTTGTTTTTGAAATGTGCCATAATTAATTTCTTAGTTATGGAATTTTCCCTTTTATTTATACATTTCGAAATATTCACAAGTACTATTTATTTATTATTCATCACTCAAATCATTTACAGTTGGACTGAATAACGAAATCGTTAAATCGTAAAACCGAACCGAAACCACTTTGAAATAGTTTGGCTTATATTTCAATTTTTCAAAATCGTTTCAAACTGTCATTTGTTGCTGTTCAATAATTGGTTGGATACATCCATATTAGATCAAACGAAATCCAATTGTTGAAAGACTAAAAAAATGAAAATAAATTAATTTAAATTTATCCAATCGAGTAAAACTAAACATATCCATATAAAAAAGATACTGTTGATAATCGTCCTACATAGCATACATTTATGCAATTTGTTAATTGATACACGAGGTAATAAAAAATTATCATATCAATGCATTAAATAACAAACTGCCACATTATGCACCATAGCGACAGTCTTCACTACAAAAATCATTATTCTAAAAAGACCTTTATATTTAATCAATCCAATTAGGCAATATCCATCGCAATTGATTAATTAAATCATAACTTATTATCCATCATTAAATCACAATTGTGAATGCAAATTGAATGAAGTGTTGAACAACTTCTACTAAACCATGTTCATTGATTGTCCATCACAATTGAGTAGCTATTCAATATCCGCAATTGCTTTTGAGTCTGTAATCCTAGTAGTGGTCGAAATTTTGATTCCTTTCGGAGTTCATAAAGTGCAAAGACAGTTGAGACGATATTTTTGTACTAAAAATTGATTTTACACTAACAATGAACCTACAGTGATTCGTCAATAATTTAATGAAGTAGAAGCATTGGATAATTCATTATCATATTTGATCTTTTTATTGATTTTCTGTTAGTAATTGCTTTATATCATTTAATTATAGCTACTAAATACATTTTCTATATTCTTATCTTTAGCAAAGAATGAATCACATGTTACAATTGGAGATGTTGCACCAATTAGTTTAGACGGAGAGGTTAGAACTAAATTGTTTCTATTATGCTTTTGTATTGTAGTGATTGGAAGTGAAGATTTTTTATTTGTAATATTTATAATGATACTAATATTTTAAAATGAAATTTTAGACTAATATTTATATTTAACTTGTTTGATACATGTTTTGTGTTTGCTAAATCGTGATTTAAATTGAAAAAAGTGGTTCGATTTGGTTTTATTTAGAAATTGAAACGATTTGGT